TTCTCAGGGAGTTACAGAACACCAGCTGAGCAAGCAGTGAACCTGTCTCTACCTATAAATAAAAAGAAATTAATTGGCCAACTATGGGATATATAGAAAAAATTAGCCGGCATAGGTGGCGCAGCGTGATAGTCCCAGGCTACTCGGGAGCTGAGGCAGCAAGGGTAACCTCGGGAGCCCAAGGAGTTGAGTGTTGCTGTGTGAGCTAGGCTGACCAGTTGGCCTCCATCTAGCCTGGACAACAAAGCAGACTTGTCTCAAAAAAAAAAAAAACAAAGAAAGAAAAAAAATAAAAAAAATAATTTGGTGGGAGTAGGATTTTGTGTTCTCACCACAAAAAATGATAAGCATGTAAGGTAAGGCATATGTTAATTAGCTTAATCTAGCCATTCCACAAAGCATACTATTTCAAAACATCATGTTGTACATGATAAATATTAATACATACAATTTTTTTACTTTTTTTTTGTTTTTGAGATGTGGACTTGCTATTGCTCAGACTGGTCTCCAACTCCTGAGCTCAAGTGATCCTCCTGCCTCAGCCTTCCCAGTAGCTGGGACTACAGGTATGAGCTACTGTGCCAGGCTTTTATATATAATTTTTATTTGATGATTACAAATAAATAAATTAAATGTACATATATATGTACCCATTAGCCCTCTTTTCCACCCCTCCCCATTTAGGGGTCCCTGCACTAATAAAGACACTATTGAACTTGTTCGTTTATTGGCATAAGTCTCCTAACTTTCCTATTCTTCATCTTTGCAAATAATCATTCTCCCAACGCTCGCTAGAGTCATGAAATACCTCTCAGTAGCACAGCATCCACATAGCGCACTATTTGGCATTTGTCTTTTCTTTCAAATGATCATTCCAAAAATGCTACCCCCAGATTTCATTCTTATCACTACATTATCTTCTTTATTAGCTGAGCAAGACATTGAATTTGGAAGACACTAAGGAGACTGAATAATTAAGTTAGGGCTTATATTAAGAAGAGAAACATCACTAATTCAGCCAGAGCTTGGGGTGAAGTGACTTCTATGTCTTCCAAAGGCTCTAGATTTATATCTTCACTCAAAGTAGAGCAACTTATCCTAAGGCACCACTTTCTCTCAGATATTCAAGAATGTTAATACTTCTAAGTGAATTCCTTACAATTTGTGTTTAATTTCCTTCATCTACAGACCACTGATATATTGAATTCACTTTGTTATAATGTTTTGTTTGTTTGTTTCAGGACTAACTTATGTTCATATGGGGCCAGTCTACAAAGTTGGTCTGCTTATGTAGCATGGTAATGAAATCAGGGCTCAGAAAACTAGAACATTAACAGACAAACAAGGATAGCTGTAACTAGAGCAGGTTTTTCAGACTATAGTTTGCAGCCCATTAGTGGGTCCTGAAATCATGTTAGTGGGTTGTGATCAGCCTGAAAAGCAACTAGAATAGAAAATAAGTGTGCTGCTTTCCAGTTGTAAATATCTGTGTGCATGTGTGTGGAGTGTGCCAAGGGTCTGAATGTGAGCTCCAATAAAAAAAGTCTGAGCCAATTATTTGGACCAGAGAACTGGGAGGTGAAGAAGGTGGAGGGGTCATGGCCAAATTGGGATTTTGATGTTTCATGTTTTACTGGGATGTTGATTTCATTTCCAAGTGACTTGAGGGAGTCCCTTAAAAGAGACATTAAGAAGATCCCTGGGCTGGGCCCGGTGGCTCATGCCTATAATCCTGGCACTCTGGGAGGCCGAGGTGGGAGGATTGCTCGAGGTCAGGAGTTCGAAACCAGCCTGAGCAAGAGTGAGACCCCGTCTCTACTATAAATACAAAGAAATTAATTGGCCAACTAATACATATAGAAAACATGAGCTGGGGCATGGCGATGGCCTCTATCCAGCTACTCAGGAGCTGAGGCCCAGCAGGATTGCTTGAGCCGCCAGAAGTCTGAGTTTGCTGTGAGCTAGGCCTGTGCCGCCAATGGCACTCACTCTAGCCTGGGCAACAAAGTGAGACTCTGTCTCAAAAAAAAAAAAAATAAAAAAAATAATAGAAAGAAATTAATTGGGCCAAGCTATATATATATATATAAATTAACTACTAGGTAGTATAATATATTTATAAAAATTAGCT